GTAAGTCCATGCTTTTGTCTTCAACATGACTTGAGTGGGGAGAGGATGAAGAACCCCAAGCAGCTTCCCCTCTCTGGGTTACACTGTGTGTTTTGGGTTTCCTTTTCCAAGCAGTGCAGAGGTTGGGGTGGGGGGTGACTTCATTAGTGTTAGCTGAGCACCTGCTGGTATCTGTGTGCTGACAAATATGGCAGCCACATGGTAGCCCATAGTGGACCAAAAAGAAAAGCCCAACTCTGAGAACTACCACTTGTTTGGAGAAGAAACAGGGGCATCAACAGGCACTATAGGTTAGATATCTGCTGTCTCTGAAAGGGAAAGATGACAGCAGGGTTATTTGTATGCATTTCTCTCTAGCATAAAAGGCCCTCCACTATGGCTCACTTTGGGGCACATGGGACACACACTGCTACACGATGGCAGGGAGGAGTCAAATCCTTCTTCTCACTTATAATGGTTAGGATAGTTTTTCCTCAGGAGGGAAGGAAGAGGGGCCCTGTTTCTAGGCCTGTGAGTCCCCCTCTCTTTGAACAGTGGCACTCCACTGTCAGACTGCAGCTCCACCTTACTACTTAGAGCCACAGACGACCAGAAAACAGTTACTAGGCAAAGCCGCGTTCCCTGTGAGCCAAGTGGAAGAAAGCAAGGCAGAAAAGCGCGAAGCACGTGATGTGGGTGACAATGCAGGGCAGTGCACACATGCGCTCAGTTAGCTGCTGATGGACCGAGGGCTCTGTGAACTCAGAAAAGCACCATCTCACACAGTGGCTGCCTTCCGGTCACAGAAGCAGAGGTGAGAAGGTATGAGGGACACTGTGTGGTCTGCAAAACCTAAAGTGCCAAGCTCTGCCTCTGTGGACAAAGGTGCCAGCCCTTGACCTATAGGACTTGACGTGGGAGAGCGTTTTACCAGAAATTTGTGATTAAAAATCATAATGAAAGAACAGCCTCTTCTGACACATCCATGCTTTGCATAGTCACAACCCCTTCTCTAAATACAAGGTCACAGATATTAGATATTTAAAGTTACTCCTTGTATCTGGATGCCAGTGTCTCACCCCTACAATCCTGGCTACTGTTACAGAACCCCCATCTCCAAAATAACCAGAGCAGAAATGGATTGGAGGCATGGCTCAAGTGCTACAGCGTCTGCCTTGCAAGCGTGATGCCCTGAGTTCAAACTCTAGTTCCACCAAACTACATAAATAAAAAAACAAACAAAAAAATAGTAAAACAGTCCAAGCTGTCTTAGACAAAAAGTGAAACCCTGTCTCCAAAATAACCAGAACAGAAAGGGCTGAAGGTATGCCTCAAGCAGTAGAGAGCCCACCTAGCGAGTGTGAAGCCCAGAGTTCAAACCCCAGTACCACCAAAAAAATAAAAAAAAAAGATACTTCCTAAAATATGCTCACGCAGGTGAGGCTGTTCATATCCTAAATTACATAGACCAGTCCTGAGGTTCAGAGACTTAATATACCTAGACAAAGAATACTAAAAGGATAAGTGGCCTTACTATCTAACTTGCCTTTCTTCACATCTACCTTGCCTTAAGGAGAAAGCAAGTCATTAGTAAAAAGGGCAGCCTCTGGCAGGCAGTAATACTGCAAGAATTAGGGCTCTACAGCCAGGCCGCCTGCATTTCGGTCTTGGCTCTACTTCTTGCCAGCTGTGTGATCTTGGGTAAATCACAGCCTCTCTGTGCCTTAGCCAAATGACTTATCTGCCAGTTCACAATGCCACTACAATATTATCTGGTTTGTGAGAATTCAGTCAATTAATAACTGCCTGTTGCACAGTTCAGTGTTATTTAATTATGGACTATTAATAAAATAATGTACAATCAGGGGATTAAAAATAAGTGAAGGGAAAAAAAATCTATGAAGCAAAAAGCCTTCATAAGGTGGAACACTACATTACACTGAATAAGAATATCCAAGCACCACTGGTGTCAATTTGCTTATATCCTAAGGAATCACTTCTGAACAGAGAAGGACAATGAAAGAGAAGAGTGGTCCCAGGAAAGAGATGCTTCCAGAGTCTATCAATCAAGCAGTTTGAAGAGAAATGCTTGAACTATCACTCTCTGATAATGATGACCCTGCAATGACAGTCAAAGAGGCCATGTGGCTTTTATTTCAACCATGAGATGTTCAGAAGTTTCTTTCATTCATCTAACTCATGGGAAAATAAGGTAGTTTCATTAAAGCAAACTTGAGTTCCCTTTAAGACTGGGCAGAGATGGAGACATGAATCTCTAAGATGACTAACACATTTTCCACTGCATTGAGCAAGATCTTGGTATCTGAAGAAAAGTTTGAATTTCTAAGAATTGATGACCATGCTGCAGAGGGGGAAAAGAAAAGAAAAATTCTGAATTTGTTCTATGTGACCAGTTGATGTGTAACTCGGGAAAGTACCAAGAAAACTTTTGAGTTCTACTGGGTTTTCTTCCTTATTTAGCATCACTCTCCCTTTCCTGGCTTACAATACTCAGTTTTACTTTCTGGAACCAAGTCTTATCCCCAGCCCTCAGGAGGTTCATATGGGGTGAGTTCCCTTGGCTCTACATGTGGGCATGTGATACAAACCTGGGTACTTCACTGTGACTGGCTAAAAGCTAAAACATATGATTCAATCTGGGCAATAGAAAGTCTGCCCAGGGCTTTTCCAGTTAGTATGAAGACAGATGTGCATTGTGGGACTGATGATCCCAGGGCACATAAACCTCTTCTCTCCAGCCCTCCTTGGGAAGGGTTTAAGGATGAAGGCAACACAAAGAAAAATACAGCTAATTGATAATGGCTATTCCAACACACTCCAACCTTGCTTAATTACTTGGATCCAGCCATGTTTGAAGTTAGCTACATGACTGGACTTCCTAGCTGACAAGAGCCAATGCTCATCTTCTACCTCGCTTGCTTATTTTTGCTTATACCAATTCAGGTCAGGTTTGTACAACTTGCAAACAGAGGTTCTCTGAAAAGTACAAGTCTATAAAATAAGTACTAACCCAGCCATGGCTGCCATTTGATAGTGGAGATTCCAGTTCCACTAAACAAACAGGAACTGAGAACCTGTCATGCCATGTGCAAAACCACAATGAATAATGGAGAGGTAGTTTCCAATACAAGAGCCAGACTCTTCATATCCTTAGCAGACAAACGGCCTTTTAAAAAATACGTATACAAGAATCAGGTCTGGTCTCCAATTCCAACGATCTTTAAGATTTTTTTCTTTAGTGCTAAAAGTAGCTTCAAATTATCCACCCTCCCCATCTATAGATCTATCTATCTGTCTCTACATCTTAACTGTCAGCTCACACAACGCATGAGCCTATAATTTGAAGATTATTAGCAAGAAATACTCTGATCATTAATGGTATTTTTTCAATGGGACAAACTGAGAGGCTGGCATTTCCCTTTCTGGCTCTATAACAAATATATTTTACCCAGTATTGAGAGCAATTTTATAGTTCTAGAGACTTTACAAAAATGAATCATATTTACAAATGTTTGTCAGCCATTCTACACTTGTGGGAAATTGGTAAGATATTTATCTAGCACTGGTGCAAAAGGGAAAATCAGAATTTAAAAGTGGTTTTTACCCAGTGTTTTTTCTCTCATTATATAAATATGATCAGGCAAACGATAGGGAGACACAAACACATTCCATAATGAGTGACTTACACAGAGAACAAGGCAAAACATCGCTACTCTGAATGTTAATAATTGTAAAGGATTGTTGCTTAATTTAAAATAGAGAATTGCTGTTCCTGATTGTTGATATTTAGCAGCAATTATGAACATTTCTTTAAAAAATTTACCACTTGAGCTTTCAATGACCACATAATGCTTTTGAAGTTGAAATATTCAAGCCAGGAAGCTATGAAATAGGTTCGTGGGCTCCTATGCATTAATCAAAAGAAAAAAACAAAACAAAACAACAACTGTTCACCAAAACTGCTTGTGGGTAATACTAGATGTATCTCTCAGGGAGGCTTTATTACAATATTTGTATCCAGGTCCATAAAGATAGATACAGAGATTATTCTAACCACATAAAGACCACACACAAAGGAGACCTACACATAAATCAGTCTACCTCTGTTTCCCTGGGGCCCAAATGAGAAAAGCTTCACAAAAAAGATCACTAGCACCAATTCTGTAAACCATGATAGATCCACAGGTACAGATGCTATGCGTGTGTGCATATTGGACTGTTATAAGACACACATTCAATACAATGCAGTATTATATTCGATCCATGGGCCAGTGATTCAATGACATATTTATGTGATGTCAAGAATGGAGGGCAGTTTAGTTTGAGGTGTTTGAAGCTGACACAGTGACACAGGTAAGGGAACTATTGAGATGCAGTGTTGAAGAAGTGAGAACATTAACCTGTCATCACAGAGACCTCATCACTGTTACTGATACAGATGGGATAACCCAAATTTTACTCATACTTTAACTAGGGAGTTCACCTTGGATATGCCCACCCCCTGTAAGGATAATAATCTGACCAAATGTCAACACCAATATAAAACTGAGTTGGTGACATTTCCTCGGCATCCTTTTCTTAGTTTTTTTTTAAAGTCATCTGAACAGCAAAGAAGAAGGGGTCCAATCACTGAACAGCAAATGGCCAATGACTGACCCCAATTTTATAAAGAATTAGTGTATATCTTCTTGATTTAATATATACAACCCAAGTTTAATATTGGGTTAATTTTCTTTTTAAATCTCCATTGTTCTGAAAAATGGATAAATACATGCTCTCTTACTGAAAGAAAGGACCACTTTTTATCAGGTCTAGGTCTCTCTCCCTCTGAGATATAACCCTCAACAGATTTTGTCACTGTTCCTCTGTAACAGTGACTTAGATGCCACTCTCAAAATGGTGGTGCAAAACTCTCCACCACAGAGGCACTCAATGAGTGCAATCATGACAGCGGGAGGTTGACAGCTAAGGTAAAGCAGAACACAAAACAGAATCCTTACTTTAGAAATGATGGGAAATCTTCACACACGGCTTCGCAGCCTGGCCACTTGCATACACCGTGTCCGTAGAGAGGATGGCTGTGGGGGTGCTCCTCATGGGACAAACTGAAAGAAAACACAGAACAGAAGGGAATGAATGTGCCTCCAAGATCCATCCCACCAGGACAGGGTATAAACCTCAAGAGGAACTCCATGTGGCCCAAGACAAACCTGATTGTCCTTTCCCATGGAACCTACTAATTAAATCACAAGGGTTTTTTTTTTTTTTTTTGAAAGCATGAGTTAAAAACTGCAAGAGTTAGGATATTATGTTCTAAACATGTGTAGGCACAATCACCTACTGTTAGAAACTGACCTGTGTGTGTGAGATGTGTTTGACAGGCTTTTGTTCCAGGCAAAGCTCTTTACTCAGACACCAAAGAATTCTTCAAAAAAAGCTACAACTTATTTAATCCACATCACAAAATGATAAAGTCTGCACTTGAGTTTGGGATTTTCTTTGTTATGTGTTCTACCCAGAATATTTTACATTTTGCCCCCCTTCCTTACCTCTCCCCAAACTCCTTTCACATACTTAAATATTTTTTCACAATTTTATTCGGCAAAGTACAATTAAATAATTTATGATGTAGTAACAAAACAATTTAACAAGATAAATGCATTCAAGTAGATGACTGGCTTAGAAGAAATACACTAACAGTGGCAGGAAATGTATACTCTTGAAACTACTGACCCCAGGAATGAGAGAAAACTTAGCACGAGCAGGAAGGGGTTAATGCTCCCCTGGGGCTCCAATCAATACGTAATGATTTGGTCACACAGCTCCAAGTCATGGGATGCTTTGATCCGTGCCACGTGGCACTTGGGGAAGAGGATCTGTTGCACTTGACCATGAACCATATTCTCAAATATTTTCTGTTACGTTTCTACATCCAGACTTCGTTCAGACAAATTATTTTTACAGTCTTTTCCATAACCTTCGATTCAATCAAACAGAAATGCAAAACTAACATTGACAGTTCTGTTTCATACACAAGCACATTCCCTCCTTGGGAAGGGCTATTTTGCGGCTTACTCCACTGCCTCTGCCTGACTTTGAACTTCAGCACAGTGAATTATGATTGCATGCACACACACACACATAGCACACGAGACCTGTATTTCATATTACCGTCGGGATGCTTATTCATGTATTTTATTGACCCGCATTTTAGACCATATGTACACAAATGCTACTTGTCCCTGACTTATTTTTTTATTATCATATTATTGTTGTACTAGGGGTACATTGTGACATCTACAAAAGACTTTACAATGTATCTTAGTTAAATTCACCCTTCCATCATTCTCCTTTACGTCCTTGACTTATAATCCACAGTGAGCATATTAGAAACAATTAAATTAAGAAGCATTAACAGTAAACACATATACACATAGAATTTTTATCTGAGGCAAGTAGGTCCCTCTATAGCTTTTGAATGATTTAGTTGGAAATTGAATGCAATTTGAAATAATGATGAAATATTAAAATATCTCTGAAATAGAAAACAATTATGGAAACTCTAGGCAAAATGAAATAAAACAGAAAAATAAATGGTTTATAAAAGTAGCAGAAAGTGCCCCTCTTCCAAGAAAAGAAGAAAACCAGGGAGCTCAGGGAGCCCAACGGCAGGAGGATATTCTTTAGGCACTTACGAGGGGACCATGCCCTTGGGTCCAAGAATTACTACCTATTCACGTTCATCATGAGGTTTGTGAATGAATAATATAGATATGATATAAAAATAGAATTATAAAAAAATTACTGACAATAGCAGAAATGAAAGAATTCTTCAACTAGAATTCTCACATATTCTGAGCAGGAAAAAAAAAATCTTTAAAATAAAACTGTTTCTACCAATAGTTTACAAAGAAAAGAACAAAGAACTTTAACCTTAATAACTGTTTTCTTTATCAATTTTATCAAGATTATTATCAACAGTCTTCTAACAGCATATATACTGATGTGACTGTGCAGATGTATATATACATATTTGTTGTGAAAAATCTGAAAAATGCTAAAAAGAAAAAATAATACCCTAAAATGCACATAAATACACATGCTTTTCACAAATTAAGGTGTGGAGAATTATATCATTCTTTTACATTCTACATAACTTTGAAAGTAAATTCTCGTATTAGCCATTAGTCTACATAAATTTTATTTAGTGATAGGTGACAATCTACCATCTTGGCTCTACTTCTGTGCCAAAATTTATCTAAGCATTCCTCTATTTTGGACATTGAAATTCCCTTCATGTTTCTTCTATTTGCGAGTAACGTTTGAGATAAAATTTACCAGGCTAAATATCCTGGTATAGAAACACTGATTTCTACTAGCAGATATATTCAAAGAATGGAATCACCCCAATTCATGAATGCTGAAATTTGAAGTTCACCGTGAATATTCTATCAGGTTACTCTTGAGAAATATAACACACCAAGTGCATTATTAGCCATTATAGGTATTTTATATGATTCTTCACGTTGGAAGCCAGGACCCTTTACTAGTTAGGATACAGAATTCATGCCACTAATTAAGAATTGCAAATGGTACTGTAACGTGTTTCTCCAGTTAAGTCAAGGGTGCACTGAACATAATAGTATGGATTCACTAGAGGAATTCAGGACTAGAAATGCAGTATGCATGATTTACCATGCCTGCTGTTCCTCTCCCATTTTTTTAGCTAACTTATGAAGGATCCAAGGCCTGAATCAAAATTACCCTCCTCAAAGAATTTACTTCTACTTCATCTTGGTATCATTACTTCAAAGGACAGATAGACAGCAACTCACCAGGGCCTTACGAGGAGAGCCAGTTGTATCGGAAGTCTTACAAAGACATGTTCTTTGGAGGGGTGCTGGGGATTGAACCCACAGCCTTGCATATGCTAGGCAAAGGGTCTAGCATGCGAGCTACACCCCAAGCTCAGGAACACATATTTAGACGTTCAGAAGACCTCTTGAAAACCTGCCTCATACTTACAACGACATTCTTTATTATGAACAGATGACAGGTCTGTTTTCACAAGTTCACAGGTTGCTGACTTGGTAGCTGAAGAACTCCCTCCCTCCCCAGACATGGTATCACCACATGGATTATTGCTGTGCATTTCTCTTTTCATATATTATTTTCAAAAAACGAGAACAAATAACACATACAACTGCTCGTTCCTTTTCCTGTTTACTATATAAGTAGATACAGTTAAATCCAATTCGAAAAGAAGAGGGTGGCAGTGGTGTTCTGACAGTATCTCTGAAGGTACCTGTCACCTCTGGGGTGGGCTCATGGCAGTCAGGGGGAGCAGGGAAACTGAGTTTTCATCATATCACTTTTTATATCTTTTGGAAGATTTTATTTTGTGCATTGTTAAAAATTTCTTGCCATGCAACTGTTAACTTTTTGAACATACACATTTGTGTGTGTATGTGTAGTGCTACGCAGGACTTGAGTTTTCATCCTGCCCTTTGCTGGGACAGTGGCACAGTGAGAGCCAGACCCACGGCCCGAGTGGCCTCTAGTCATTGTGTATGAGGCTCTGTCACACAGCACCAGCTGCACCTCTGAATGGAAGAGTTTCTGTCCCGTTAAGTAAGTGGGATGACTATATTTGTACTGCCTTTAGGCTCATGCCAAAAGGGACAAGAAGGGAAACAAAAATGGAAGGGAACAGTGTGTTTAAACTTGAATCAATTTAAAACTCCAAGTCCAGGATGGAAGACGGTGGGATGAGGATGCTCTGAGCATCTGATGGTGAGATATAGCCATGAGTCTCGTAATTTAAACCAACCATTCAGGAGCAACTCACAAGGTGTAAAGTAAGACTGCAGAACAGCTGCCAAGGCCAGGGTCAGTGAGAAATAAAGACACACTTGGCTTTTAAAAGACTTAAACATGTTTGCCCTAAAATGAAACTCAAAAATTTCAGGTCAATTAATATTAAAGGTCCTTTTTAAAACTGTGCACTCTCAGGGCGAATATTCCTAGAGGCTGGCAGGGGTCACTTATTCATCTCATCATACCTAGAACAGGGACTCAATAAATGTCAGGCAGATTTGTCAATTGGACAGACAAGAAACATGTATTTAATTTCTGTGTGGATATATATTAAGTGTTTTTCTTTAAAAATAATTCTTGAAGTACAGACCAGAAATATGTAAAGCCACAGGGAAAAAAATACTGTTAAGATATTATTATTTAATTTTTTCTGGAATGTATGAAACACAGATGCATTTGAGAAAAGCCAGTTGGTTTAGATTTCTGCTGATAATCATTGATATGTAAAAATTAGATAAAATTTTAACATGAGAACAGTGACAGCATTTCAGATTAGAAAAAGCCAACTTGCCAAGGAAAGTATAATTGCATAGAAACAGGTAATGATGATTCCTGACACTCATGGTACTAATCGATACAGTATACATTTAGAGTGGCATGATGGTGTCATTGTCAACCCCATTTTTATTGGCTATTTCTATCCTATTTATTCTTTCTACACTGCTGTAGAGCAGCCAGAGTTTTCACATCAACAAAAACTAGTCTTTAACGTCATGGGTCCTCACTGGTAACACCACCATTACCTTCCCAAGTTCACTACCTAACCAAACTTGAAACTGGAATTATGAAATTCACATGTTAAAAGGACAACATCTTAAGCTTGAAGTTTGCAATCTTTAGTGGCGAAAATGTTATCAGTCCTATAAGCTATTTCCCTCATGGTAACCAAAGGAAGAGTTAATCTTTGAAGACAGACTAGAGACCTCACTTTATTCCAAGACATCTCCTTCCAAGTGCGTGATTTTCCTGCACCTGAAGGCACTTTCTCACTCCCCTGTACTCTGACCCACATTCTCGCATCTGTCTTCTAAGTCTCCCCTAATTTGTCTTCTCCACACTCCATCCTGTTTTCTTACTCTTTAAATCTCGCATTCATCTGTAGCAAAAGGTGACATCTATGCCCACGAGTGTATGCCCCTTCTCCCCACTCCCTGCCAAGAATCATGCCAAAAACAGGAACTGTGTTTTATTTCACTGGTATGTTACTGGATAAACTTTGGGAAGTCTA